TACAATTAAAATTTAATGCATTTTTGAGTATATCTTACGAATCACAAGAATATATAAATCAAATATTCATATAAACAACGGCTCTCTCCGTTGAAATATAACTGCTTTTAAAGAGTTCATCGCTTTTGAACATTTATGCGTGAAATTTAAATATTAAACGAGTTTCAAAAACCTTAAATGATATTTAATATAAATGTAAAAATAATGTAAAATCCGGGGCTAAAGAGTGGATCTCTTTCTCTGTTATCTTTCTCTTTGAGAAACTGATTGATTGAAAAGAATTAAATATAGTTTTTTTCTGTTTTCTCTTTCAGTCTCAGCAAAAAATGTCTTTTAGATGTCATTTGTATTGTTGTTGCGCTTAAAACACAATTTATATATTTTTCTGTTAAGAAATTCTTCGCCAAAAAACATACTTTTATGGCGAATACGAGAGAGAAAAGAGCTTTTCCGAGGATTTAAACATTAAAAATATTTCGTAACATATCTTTTAGCCAAATGTTATATATTTTTCTCCAACAAAAAAAGATTTACCGTTTTGTTTTATTTATTTAACACGAAATTATAAATTATACATACGATATGCTATCCGTATAAACAGTACTACACTAAACAAATTGATTAATTAAATTAACAAAAAATCTATATGTTAGAATAAATAATTATTAAAGCATTATTTAATTAAATAATTTTAGGATAAAAATACATTTCACAATAGGTTTCACAACAAATCCCTGAAATCACTTTTCAATCACTTTATTAATGCAAATATCGATTAAGCAATAATTTTAAACACAAAACTCGTATACATTTTAACCAACAAAAAAAGTTGGCGTTTGTATGAGAGCTAAAGCCGTGTGTATTTGTATATAAGGTTTGATTTATTAAAATTTAAATAAGCATTAAAAATGATTTATTCACTCATTAATGGATTATTGAATTATTTTCTGAAAGATACTGTATTTGTTCTGTCGGTCTGACAGTAATAATTGGTTTAAAAACATTTTTTATATTTTGTTTTTGCGAAATGCCGTGACATTAGAGCGGAGAGTAATTCATGTGAACAAAAACGATGGCTAAGAGAGTGAAGTGAAAAAAATGAAAAATACAGAAAAGAGAAAGTTTGAAAAATGTAATCAAATTAACGTACAGTATATATACATAATGGTAATCATAATCATTATTATAATAATCAGTTTGTGATGTCTTTACGACAATAAAGTCTCACAACAGAAGACATATGCAAAGCGTTTGTCTCCTGAAGATGTCATTCATTATAATCGCAAAAGTCATTGCATAACACTTTTTCTCTTCTGTTGTATATATTTAATGACAAAAATAACATAATTTTAGTTTTCGAGGAAAAATTTTCGCTCAAATTGTAAATGAAAACACACACAGAAATATCTCTCACTATTTGAGTCTCGGCTCTAATAATAATATTTTAAACTTCTCTCTCTCTCTCTCTCTCTCTCTTCTGAACAAATGTTTGACTTTTCGTTCGGAGTGTTGTTTTGATAAAGACATTAAAATCTGACAAAATTCTTATGTAAATAAAAAGTCAAACATTTTATGAAAACTAAAGAAATGTAAGAATATATCATATAATTGGCAACACATGAAAATATAGTTAATTCTAAAAACCTTTTTTCATAAAATGTTTGTTTTATTTGTAAAGATCTAAAGAATATAAGTTTATACAGCATTTGCATCAATAGTTAACTCTATACTGTTATATGTGTTTTCAAGTTAAACTCGTAGTGACGTGAATAGAGATCAAAATATATTATTAATAAATATAAAATAAATCAAATTATATTTGATGTTTACGATATGGCTCTCAAACTTGTTGCTCAAACTTCTAGATGTAGTTTTTGGATACTTTCGCTGCAAATTATGCTCAATAATAGTAAATATAATTTATATCTAACATTATGTCCAAGAAATTACTAAAATAAAACTGAAAATACACAACACTTCATGTGCTATCAAATAACACTGTTATTAGTTTAAAAATTGTAGGCATTGAATGTGTTTAGCCGTAAACGCGTGAATAGTTTTGGACAAATAATAGCTGGTTTGGGACATACCTAAGAGAGTCCTGGCCTGTAGTGTAACACAACCCGTGTGTATGTATTCAATGAGTTGTCTGAAGACGTCGGGCTCGAACTCCTCGATGATCATCGTTTGGTGGGTTTGCACTGAAGGCTATACTCAACACAATAAACAACATTTGATTAACATTTATATAACAATATTATTACAGTATATGTAGAGAGAAAAAAATTAGATAAAATATAGCGTCTGAGAGATGAGAAAATGATATAATATATCAATTGTTGTGTATAAATATGATTGCAATTCACTGGATGTAAGCTCTGTTTTTTGGTTGTGTATTTTTGGTATATAACTTAATAACATATTTTTTATATGTGATTAATATCTATACCGTGCAAAAAGAAAAACAAAAAATATTAAATAAGTCTTGTTTTTGTTTTGTTTGATGAATGAAAGCAAATACAATAATTAGATATAAAAAAGAGATATTCAATATTAAATAGAGTTGTTATTCAGTAAATTATATCGTCAACAAAATCAATCATAAACAAAAAACCCATAACAAACTTATAATATTAATACTAATACCAATAACCTTAACAACTCTCTCTCTCTCTCTCTCTCTCTACTCACTCACTCACTAAATGTCTTTCTTTTGGAAACACTTTAAATAATTAGTTTGCAATCAGTAACTTAGTATTTTTAAAAATAAGTTAAATAAACAGAAAATCATACAATAATACAATATAATGAAAAAGCAGTGATTTTCAATTTGTATTTAGATTTCTCAGCTCTCAAACTGAATGTTGAAAGACATAAATTCTGGGCTCAAAATGAAAGCCCAAAACCCGAAAAACGGTGTTTATATTGATTTAATCCAAATGTGACGCAAACACGAGGGCCTGACGTTTGTAAGATTAGTTTTCGAGGAAAAATTTTCGCTCAAATTGTAAATGAAAACACACACAGAAATATCTCTCACTATTTGAGTCTCGGCTCTAATAATAATATTTTAAACTTCTCTCTCTCTCTCTCTCTCTTTCTCTTTCTCTCTATCAATATAATTACAGGTGTTTGCGAGCGCTCAGCCATTAAGATTAATAGCCAAACCTTTTAAAAATAAAACACAATATTGTAATATTAATAATATTATATTATTCTCAGTTCAATTCTTTAAAAGTTAATTGATTATGCTATATATAACTTTACAATATACACGCTTTTCTACATAGATTTTCTCAAATTTTAATTAAATTTTGTTGTGTTATATGTCTTATAGTTTATGATAAAACCTATTTAATGTCAAGAAGTAGTAGAGAGCCGTACATCATATTCGGAATATTCTGTATATACAGTATATATACATAAATATTTATTCAGGCATTATATTTAGTCCCTTTAATCATATATCCCATTGCCTTACAAACGTCAGGCCCTCGTGTTTGCGTCACATTTGGATTAAATCAATATAAACACCGTTTTTCGGGTTTTGGGCTTTCATTTTGAGCCCAGAATTTATGTCTTTCAACATTCAGTTTGAGAGCTAAGAAATCTAAATACAAATTGAAAATCACTGCTTTTTTCATTACATTGTATTAATATATGATTTTCTGTTTATTTAACTTATTTGCACCTTATTTTCAAAAATACTCAATTACTGATTGCAAACTAATTATTTAAAGTGTTTCCAAAAGAAAGACATTTAGTGAGTGAGTGAAGGGGGAGAGAGAGAGAGAGAGAGAGAGAGAGAGAGAGAGAGAGACGAAAAATTATTTACAAAGTAAAAGACAAAATAATTAAATGCAATGTACAAAAGAAAACAACATTCACTTATTTTTTGCTGAAACTAAAAATCTCTCCGAAAATTAGATATATATTAAACACAAGAGGAAGTGATAGAAGAAGAAAAAGTGATGCGAGAATCGGGAGAAGAGAGTGTAAAATATAGTGAGAATGAGTGTGTAATGAGTGGCGAACAGACCTGTTGTTGATTAAAAGGCAATCCATTTAAGATGGGTTCTGACGAGCGTTTGAGAAAAAGTTTTAATTTAGTATCTTTTGGCGATTCTTTTTTCTTAGCTATGGTTTCTTTGGCGTTACCGCCGCTCCCGGTATTACCGGTTCCGGGAATTTGGTGCTGCTTTTGGCCGTACAGTAGTTTGTGAAACACTCTGTCAGCCAAACGAATGAACGCAAATAGAAATACAATTTACATTATATTAACAATTGAAAACAAAATGATCTTGTTTAAAACACATCAAATATAATTACCTGCTTCGCGCCGCCAACACCGCCTTCACAGCGCAGACCGGCTCTCGGGTCTCACCTGTTATTAAATGTAATTAAAATCGCAATGAATTTATTGTAATTTAGATAAATATATTTACTGCAAAAAATTAAAATTTTTAATTTAATTAATTAATAATATTATATTATGAGAGCACCAATGGGTACATATCGGTGCGGACTTTGCATCTGCACTTTTGCTCTCACTAACAAAACTATCATAAATATGTGATTTTGAAATAAAATTAAACGTTTGAAACCAAGACATACCGACGAGGAATGTAATGTCGCAGAGTTCGGGCATTGAGGCCAAAAACTTCATGTCCTCCGCCAGACCCGTGCGGTTCTCATACATAGAGTAGTCATTAAAGTCTTCGGCCAATTCGTCGACATCGACATCGATGTCGAGGTCGACGTCAAACAAATTGATGGCATCGATGGCCGAACAGTCATCGTCTCTGTACTGTTCGTAAGATAGGGCCAAATCGGAGGGCAAACCAATGGCCACTAATTCGTCGGACATATCCCTCCCGACAGAAGCCACTAATCATACACTAAAACACACCAAATAAACACTTGTGTCACTCGACTGCTCTCTCATATCGCTTTTGTTTGGCTCTCCGGCGGGTATTGTGTGCATGATTTGAATGCATTGTATTGTATGAACTGATTCGGCAACTAAACGCTGTGACTTCAACTTAATACACGGCTAGTATTCATATAAATCATATATAACTGTATATACACTGTATATAACTGTATAATTGTGTATAATATACACTATTTAAGCGACAAAAATGTCATTAATATAAATATTAAGCGTTGGGGCGAACGGAAGCCCTATTGTAGTAATCGGCACTTACTGTATATATCTTAACATAAAATCTATTATTGAATAATATATTGTAAAATATATATTTATATACATCTATAGTGTATACGAGTTGTATTGAGTAGTGAATGGTTTGGTGCGATACCTAAACCACTCACACACTAAGCGTAATGACGGCACGCATTGAACGCTACATTTGCCGTTTGGTTGTCGGCACCCGATCTAACACTAATGGCAACACCAGAAACACCGTTGCGATGGAGTCGACAGTCCCTAACGATTCTGTGAGAGGGCTTTCAAGAGGGAGAGAGTGAGTGAGTGTATGAATGCATGTCAATGAGAGAGCGAGAGAATATTTAAATTTCATGATAAGAATTGCAAAAATATTAAGAGCCGAATCAGTTCATACAATACAATGCATTCAAATCATGCACACAATACCCGCCGAAGAGCCAAACAAAAGCGATATGAGAGAGAGAGAGAGAGATGGTATGTGTTTGAGATGCACAACATCTCTGCGCTCACGCCGGCGCCTAACTTTTGCATTACAACTGTCTGAGAGAACTGATAGCAAAGACACTATTGAAAGAGTGCACAGAATATATGCACAGAATATCACAGAATTTAATACATTAATGAGTTATATATAATATATTTTAGACTTTTCACTAGACTTTCGACTCATAATATACTGTACTAAAGAAAGAGAACAACAAAAATACAATATCTATTCATTTATTTATTGTATCTATTCATGTGATGCTCATTATGTCTCGACATGTCTTACCATCATTAGTGGCCGACCTCTTATGGCTAACCCACAGCTACCGGTGCTCTATAATTAGGGCCGTAAATAATGCATATTAGGCACAAGTAATTGTCATTTTCATGGCTCCGGGTATCAAATAAATTCATTTTAAATTAACGGAATATTTATTTAATGAATAAAAATGAAATCAAAAAATTAATAAATCTCTTTTCGACCTTCAATTTTAGGAAAAATATTTGTGGAAAATTTGTGTTTTATTTTCAAAAATAATGTTTTTCTATACAAATAATAACCTTTATTTCACATGTAATTTAACTTAACTTATAAAATCATTTGCAAAGAAAAATAATTATTGTCGGCAAAGAAATCGCGGAATTTATATTATTTCTAAAAAACAAACTAAAAATAGAAAATTTAAAAAATTCACTTTTATTTCGACTCTTTCTTTTCGTTGGCTTTTATTTTTGACATTTCTTTTGCAGAAGTTTTACAAAATATATGAACGAATCATTGATTTTACGAAATAAAATAACACGATATTTGAGTTCATTGTATAGTATTTTAATGTGTAGTGAATTCTGGCGATGCGTTGGCGTATAAACAGATTTGTCGATCAATACCTAAACAATCGCGAAGTCTTATGATAAATGACTTGAAAAACAAAATTTGATTATCATTTATATGTTTATTAATATATGTAATTAATATTTAAAGTGTCTGGCTAACATGTTTATTAATATCTATTTAATAGTGATATACTGATTATAATTATATTTTATTGTAAATTATTATTATTATTATATTAACGTAAGAATAATAATGAAATAAAATAACTATTATTTATATTTATATAAATTTATTTATCGTTGAGTTTTAAATCTCATACAAAAATATTTGTCATAATTTTTGAGCTCATTTTGTTTATGTATATTTTGAGCTTAAATTAAATGCTTATAATTATTATTTAATGCAAAATAAATGTTTTGATTTATATAATAAAACTAGTGATATGTCTAATCAAATACCGTTAAAGCAATACTAGTCGTGTGTGTATTATATAATATTTTGTACTTTTCATGAATACGATATTTGCATTAATTATTTATGCAAATAATTATTGGTTTTATGCAAATCGTTACCAAAAAATTTGTATTTAATCTGTTGTTCAAAAATGCTTTTAAATATAATTCACATCGAAAAGCAGCAGAAAATTTGATTATAACATATTTTAGCTGTAAATCAAAATCACATACAGCTATTCACTTATATATTATTTAGTTTTATCAGTTAATTACAAAGTTTTGCATTTATTTAAAACTCGATTAAATATTTTTTCGCATTTGCATAAATCAAATGCTAAAATGTTATGTCAATTGTGTTGTTAATAATATTATTACTGCAAAATCTCTAATACATGTATATCTCACTATTATTTCTAGTATACATTTATTGTGTTTGACGTTCATTTGAGTTTATAATAAGTGCAGTTATCATACGGTTGACTGAAAATTGTATATATATTTGTCAAATCAATTCATATGTGTTGACATAAAAGGCCACATCAATGGCACTTTAGGTACAATTCTTGAGCTCTCGTTTAGCCGCACAAACAATAGGCCATTAAATATAAGATTGAGATATAGTTTTTGCGCGAATTTGTTGCACAGCTTTTGAGTCGATTGTGAAGAATGGTATCCAATAATCAAATTTGCATTTATTTGCAAATACTTGTGACCAACAAATTGGGACACAAATTATACACAAATGCATTGTTTATTCGTGACGTCAATGAATTTGAGCCAAATGTGTCTTCAATACAGAGAGCTATCACTTCTGGACCAACTCTTTCTGTCGTATAATCGTATTCAATGTACAGTTATATGCATTCATTTATTTTTATACCTAAATGCTATTGCTTTGTATTCATTACACATACACTTTAATATAACTCTTTTCTTTTTTTATATACAATGTATGAAACGGTAATTAAGAAATTATTTTCAGCTCTCTCTCTCTCTCTCTCTCTCTCTCTCAGTGAAGCTCTCAATTTTGCTCAATTTAAGTTCTGTGCTCTCAATTAAATCCCTTTAAGTACTGTATTTCTAATCCTCATTAACCCATAATCAGAGAAATACTAAATTATTTTGTATCTAAGAATATAAGCCCTTCACTTATAATTGCTTTTTTCTGACCACTCACTCATTGTTGGGATTATCGTTACATAATTAATGTCAAAACTCCTGTACAAGTTTGTTATCCGATATTTTATACCTGGTTGAGTTGTTGTCAATAACACACACTTGACATCACATATTGTACTAATCTTTTGTAATTTAATTTAATTAAAAATTAATTGCTTCCGAAATTGTATTTCTTTATTTCGACTCTAATTTGTCTATAAATTGCAATTAAATGTTTAATTAATAAAAACAAATAATAATCTCAATAACAAGTAGTTTTCCAATACATACTATCTGTTTGTTAACTGTGTGTTCATACCATTTAATTATATCTACATTTTGTGTTTTTTTAACAAACAGTATTGCATTTCTTTTATGCTTATTATGAAATAATAATTATATTTTTAATTGAAAAATATATTTTATAAGAAAAGACTTAAATATTGTTTTAGTTGTCATTCAGAGCTCACAATGAATTTGATTAAAATTAGATTTTCATTATCCATAAGAATAGTATCTAAAGATAGTCAACACTTTTAATGAAAACACATCTTCAATGAGACAATAAAACCTCATTATAGACGAATTGGCCGAAGACTTTAATGACTACTCTATGTATGAGAACCGCACGGGTCTGGCGGAGGACATGAAGTTTTTGGCCTCAATGCCCGAACTCTGCGACATTACATTCCTCGTCGGTATGTCTTTGTTTCAAACGTTTAATTTTATTTAAAAATAACATATTTGTGATAGTTTTGTTAGTGAGAGCAAAAGTGCAGATGCAATGCTCGCACAATAGTATCAATTAATTTAATTTAAAACTTAAATTTTTTACAGTGAATATATTTATGTAAATTACAATAAATTCATTGCGATTTTAATTACATTTAATAACAGGTGAGACCCGAGAGCCGGTCTGCGCTGTGAAGGCGGTGTTGGCGGCGCGAAGCAGGTAATTATATTTGCGTTAATATGTTTTAAACAAGATCATTTTGTTTTCAATGCCAGTATTTGTTACTATAATGTGAATTGTATTTCTATTTGCGTTCATTCGTTGGCTGACAGAGTGTTTCACAAACTACTGTACGGCCAAAAGCAGCACCAAATTCCCGGAACCGGTAATACCGGGAGCGGCGGTAACGCCAAAGAAACCATAGCTAAGAAAAAAGAATCGCCAAAAG